AAGCTAAGTTGAAGCTCTGAATCTTAACTCGCATGTGAAAATGCAATTTGAATGGAATCATTGAACCTTGAGTATTTGTTACATTGTTTTTGAACCACTGCAGATAGCATAAGGCCCCAACAGATGTTGTGAACTATTCAGATATCTGCCTGTATATTCTATTTTGCTTTTAAACCAGATATTTAGTTGTTAGAGTAAATAGTGGAATACAAGTGCATCCACATTTCCCGGCTAAGGTTCTCCATGATTTCCTCACAGTACTTCAGACACCTAACAAAAAAGTCCTTCATTCAGAATGATGTCCGTCCAAGTTTCCCAGATGCCAAAGAACATCAAGAAGAACAAGAAAAATGAAAAAAAAAAAAAAAAACAAAAAAAAAACCTGCACTTCACTGACTTCACTGCTCCAAGTGTTCCCAAAGAGAATTCCAGCCCGTCAGCTCCAGCTAAACTGAAAAGATTTCAGAAGTCATTTTGTGATAGGGTACATTTTGTACCACCTAGTACATATTATCTAAATCATTTTGCAGAAAATCTTGATAGAAAAATGGCCTTGAATATAGCAAAGGAGAGCTGTGCAGAAGCAAATGCTTTTCTTCTCATTAAAAATTAGACATAGGGCCTCCCCGGTGGTGCAGCGATTGAGCGCTGGGTTGCAAAGCTGCCCACAGCCTCTGCAGCACAAGTTCGATCCCCGGCTGCTCCCCGGCCACTGGAGGAGGGTCCCATATGGCGCACAGACCTCTCCTGCCGCCCGCTGCTCCTCTCAGCAGTGTACTTCGGTCCTTCTGCCTGCTCTGCTCCCCGCTCTGGCTCTGGTGAATTCTCTCACCCTCCCGCGCTTCTGACTGTACCCAGTGCATGTATAAATAAATAAATCTTTAAAAAAAATAAAAATGAAAATGAAAATTAGACATAGAACATTCATGTTTCCAAATATTTTAGAGCCAGGACATGCTTTTAAATCTTGTATATCTCAACAGAGGAGGGGCAGGGAGGTTTTATGGAGACAAATTCCAAGGCAAATCAACAATTCAGGAAAACCTAAAACACTGATTCCCACAAAGCATGTGGTTGGGGAATGTGGACAGGATCTTTTCCTTTTCCTTTTATATTAGCTTCTCTTGTGTAAATATGCAACCATAAGCATCTTATTACTTTGATAAAGAACTGAAAACCAGTCTGAGTGCTCATGCAAGTTCACAGAGCACTGCTATACGTGATAGAATGTAATTAAATCTGCACATATGAATGCAAGTAATAATATTTTTTGAAAACTGGGAAAAATTGGCCATTTTGAGGGCCATTTTATAAATGATTAAAAGTGATAATGTTGGAAAAATATGTTTTTCAGTAATGTTTTACTTGTGGGATAGAAAAACAAAAGTACTTTTTCCATACAAATTTTCTGAATTAATCACATAAATTAAAAAAAAAAAAAAAGAAAGAAAGGGCCTCCCCTGATGGCACAGTGGTTGAGCGACGGGCTGCGAAGCTGCCCACAGCCTCTGCAGTGCCAGTTCAATCACCGGCCACCAGCGAGGGTCCCACATGGCACAATAGACCTCTCCTGCCTCGCCCGCTGCTCCCCTCAGCTGTGTATTTCCATCGGTCTGCCTGTTCTGTTCCCCGCTCTGGCTCTGGTGAATTCTCTCACCCTCCCATGCTTCTGACTGTACCCAGTGCTTGTATAAATAAATAAATAAATAACTAAGTAAGTAAGTAAATAAATAAATAAATCTTAAAAAAAAAAAGTAAAATTGAAACAAAACAGGCCATCACTTTGGAGAAGTACCATAACACTCCATTCCCTTTGCTTTTTTGAAAGTCTCATAAGATTTCCCTTCTGACAAGAACATTTTTAGGCTTTTGCCTAAGTTTTAGCAAATTAGATTTGGGAATTGGATAATAATTGATATTTATCAATTGTTGTGATTTCTTAGACAGTTATTTATTTCTCCTTAGAATATTTAATGATATGAATTAGGATACAGAAATAAGGGGAATATGGCAAAAGTCCTTGTGTTATTTGCACTATATGAAATTGCAAATATTTAAACATTGTGACCCACAGAATATAAATGCAGGCTCAAATGAATGCTCTGTTATTATTTTCATGATTAGCAGGTTAAGCAGGAAAAAGAATACAGATTAGCTCTTTTAAATGATCAAATTAAACAACAAAACCAACAAAAATAACAAATCACAAATTCGAAAGAAAATTAAAAGAAAAACCCACTGATTAAGCCTTTTGTCACTTAGAATGTCAATGTTTTTAAACAGTTGACATTATAGTTTTGAACTCAGAACAAAAGATTTTAAAAGACTAAATAGAACCAAGGGGGGTAAAAAAATCTATGCAACACATTTCATTAAAAAAACAAAACTCCAGGGCCTCTCCTGGTGGCGCAGGCGGTTGAGGGCCACACTGTGAAGCTGTCTGCAGCCTCTGCAGCGCTGGTTCGATCCCAGCTGGCCAGCGAGGGTCCCACATGCGTGGAAGACCTCTTCTGTCATGCCCGCTGCTCCCCTCAGCAGTGTATTTCATCAGTCTGCCTGTTCTGTTCCCCGATCTGTCTCTGGTGACTCCTCTCACCATCCTGCACATCTGGCCTGTAACCCTGGTTATTGTATAAATAAATAAAGAAATCTTTAAAAAAAAGTGAAAAAAAAAACCACAAAACTCCAAACAAAATAACAACAAACTATAAAAGAGCACCTATTCTTGGTAGAACCTATGATGCATGGAAACTTGGAACGATTTAGTTTGCATTTCTGTCCTCAAGAGTAATATAACAAAGTGAGTAATTTATTTGGCACCTAAAATGACTACAAGAATGGAAAATTTTACCCCTGAATAAGTAATACTAAACTTTGGAAACATAGTAAAGGAATGTGATTGAAAATATGGAGGATTCTCTAATAGAAGTTTTAATCAAAAGCAAATGCTTGTAAGCCTATGTTCTCATCTTTGTCTTTAAACCTAATCTTTTAGTGTTAGGCTATCTGACAAATCTGGAAAATACATTATGTACATTTTATGCTAATCTTTTAAAGTTTATAAATATTTGATGTTATAGGGTTAACCACATTCTTACAGGCAATTTGCTTTTAGGAATATTTATATGGAAGTTTAATTTACAATAATTTTTTTAAGATTTGGGGTGTCTGATGAGTAATTTGAGTTTCAAAAACCTTGAAATTTATATTATTATACATTTCACAAGAATTTTTCTACATAATCTTAACATGATTTCATTCTGTCTTCACAGCAGTACCAGGCTAGGGCTGGTATTATCATTGATCTAATTTCAAAGTTTAAAAAAACAAAACTAACAAATGTTATCACTTGCCCAAGGACACAACTATAAAGAGTTGGATTCAGTGTCTAAATCCAATAAATATTTTAAGTTTAAATACAGTGCTTTGCCACCTAGCCCTCTATCATACTGTATGTTATGACCATACAACACAAGCTCAGTGATTGGGAAAAAACATTACTAATATTTTAATTACATGTGCATTCCCCTCTACACACTTTCATGAATGACTGGTTCAAAATTCATTATGTATAAGCCTTGTGGAATGTCTCTACACTGGTAGATGCACATCGATTGTTGGGAATCATGTGTCTGGGGAATAATATAAAAGAGGCTAATTTTGTTTGTTTTCTTAACACTGATAGACTAACATTGTTCTGTCCTCTTTGATCACAGGGTCTGCATTTGGACTTACTAGACTGTCACTCATTCATTCTACTGATGTACACTGAGTGCCTACTAGGTGCTATGTACTGCTGTAGAAGTTACAGACACTGCAGTGAATGAGGGAAAAAAGAAAATATTTTTACTTCCTAGTGGTTGCACACATGATCGATGTTGATCACAAGTCAGAAGACTTTATTTGCAAACCACTGTAAATGGTGAAAATTGTATTTTTTACTGGGGCTGTCTCAGTATCACCATTTTCTTTCAAGAAATTTATTTTTAATGAGGTACTACTGTTTTACATCCTTGTTAATATTTTGATAGTATGGGATTTCTCCCTCAAGTGTGGTCACCATAGCTCTCCATCATATATTACCACCATTGTGCACCCACCTACTCACCAATATTACCCCACCACAGTCCATTGCCCTTATTTCCCTCTTTGTCCTTACCCCTCCAACACCCCTGCCCCCCTTGGTTCTTCAGTTCTGCAGTCAGCTATCAAGAGTTAGCTTTTAAGCTTGTCTTTATCTGACCATTAATTTAGCTACTTTCTTAAAAAACAATAGCACTACAGTTAAGTGGGTAGACATACTCGTAAATGCATGTGTGTGTTTTTAGATTTATAAAACCCTGCACTATCATTTTCACAATTGGGAAGGTGAAAATAATAGCTTTAAGCAGTTTCAGCTAACAAAAATGCCTTGAGACACTTTGTAACTCGGTTAACACAGGAGCACACAACTTTCATTTCTAAGAAAAAAGGATTAGAGAAACCCATTAGTAGCTGTTGTGACAGCAGCCGTTGGGAAGTAGATCTATCTTAAAATTGAAAAAGAGAAATTGGAGTACCAAAGACTCAAACTCCAGTTCATTTTCACTCTCTGGAATTTGTCTTTATCTGACAGATGAAGGCAACACCCTGTATAAATCTAATTCTTATCCTCTTTATGTCCCATGCAGCTACCAGGCACTACATTAATGACATATCAAATCGGGAAGAGTGTTCAATCAAAGGGTATTAAAGTACTTATTAATTAGATTTTTCTGAACTTCTAAAGAAATTTTAAAAAGTTATTTTTAGTGGCTCCATGGTAAGTTGCCCTTCTGTGTTTTTTTTTTTTCCCTCATGGTTTATGATCACATGTGAAAAACACTTCCTAAATATCACTATATATTTTGGTCAAGCCATTCTCCAGAGGATGGTGCATTGTCTTTGGATAATAACACTTCAGTAATTACATATCACAGATCCAAAAATGACATCATAATTGGTCATAGAACAGTCTGAGTAGTCCATGAATTGAAGGAAAACCTCCCTACAATTTAATTGCAACCTCAAAACTTCTACCAGTTTCATGAATTGTAAGTTTTAATGCAGAACTTTCTGACTTCCAGAATTTATAGGCTGGAAATTATCCAAACAGTCTTGCTGAGAGAATGGAAGGAGTAGGAGTAAGTTCTTAAAGTACATTTGAGCAGTGCTGGGAGTAAATTGCAGCATGGGAGTCAAAGTAGGACAACTGCTGTGCCTGATAAAATAATGGGAGGGAGAAAAGAAAGAGCAATTTCCTATAAAAGAGAGACAGGTAATAAAATAAAAGGGGAAAATGTACCAAAGCACATATAAATATGTATTGGGCAAGACCATAATCCAGTAAATATCTATAATCTCTTCATTAGAAGAGAAATGAAAATTGAAGTACTACAGAAATGATTTGAGTAAAATTCAAATTACTGTGAGTAGATTAATATTTGTAAAGAAATTCACAAATACAAATAGCACACAGGACAAATGAATCCCAAATCTAAAAAGCAGTTGAAGAAAGGAGTTATAAATGAATTTAGGCGTTAGTTGAAAATTTTGATTTTTCTCAGAGAAATTACTAAATCATTTCATTATTTAAAATGTTAAAGAATAGTCTAAAAGATTTCTTCCAATGGGGTTAATACGTTAACAAAAGTCACATATTTCCATGCACCTAACAATTCTAGCAGAAAATTTAAGTAGAATTAAAAAAACCTTTGTAATCAAATTTTGCTTTGACATTTTATATAATCCACGATTAATTAATTTCAAATTATTGCAATATTCTTTTGTTGGAATACTAATAAGTTGGTGAAATATCTAACCCTGTATCTAGCATGCTCCTATGCTAGATCTGTACAGATACATTTACTCTTTTATGTTCCTGCAGTTATTTTATTCAGATTGGTACATGTTACCTAATTCCTCTAGTACAATAATGCAAAAACAGCTAGTTTGCTCATTTTATTAGTTTCATCTCATTCAAGTGATTGGTATTATTAAATTTGTGCTTAAATAAGACGAAATAGACTCCAAATGAGAAAGTTCTCCACTAGGGTGGGGAGATCTCTGTAGCCAGTACTTTTGCCTCTACTTCCAGGCAAGGAGTATGAAAAACAAAAAATATCAATGAATAAGGATCTGCCTTCCCTGAAGGGATCCTCTGTCAAGTTCACAGGACACCTAAATTTTCTGAGGTCCCAAATCTGCCAAGATTGGCTCTCTGTACACCCATGCTCTAGTTTTTTTGTGAATACAGAAATAAATCTGCGATCCTTGCTTTGTAAACATTTCCAGAATCCAACACACTCCATTCACCACCAAAGCCACCAGCATCTCTTATCCAACTGTTCTCCTTGCTTATACTTTTGATCCCCTACAGTTCAACTCTTGACAAGACAACCACTCTAACTCTTTTAAAACATAAATCAGGGCCTCCTTGGTGGTGCAGGTTTTAAGACTCAGCACTATCAAGCTATCAGTAGCCACTGAGGCAATAATTCAATCCCTGGCCAGGGAGCTAACCCACATGACACAGCAGACCTCTCCTGCCTCGTCTACTGCTCCCCTCAGCAGTGTATTTCAGTAGATCCGCCTGTTCTGCTCCCCACTCTGTCTCTGGTGAATGCTCACAGCCCCTGCACCTCTGGTCTACACCCTAGCTCTTATATGCATAAGTAGTTAAATCTTAAAAAAAATAAAATGTAAATCAGATCATGTCACTGAACTCAAAATGTCCACTGGCTCCCATCTCACTCAGAGTAAAAGGTCTTCTTCACAAAGCCCCACCAGGCCCTCTACAATCTGAATCCCCAGAGCTGATTTAATGGCCCACACCTTCCCTGGCCCCTTCTACTCCAGCCACCCTGGCCTTCCTGCTGTTTCTTGGTCAAGTTAGACATGGTCCCATCATTTGGGCCTTTGCATTGACTATGTGCTATACCCAGACAGCAAGGCTGCCTCCAAGGCTGATTCACCTTTTTCAAATATTTCCCCAAATGTCCTTTCTTCCCTATTTAAAGCTGCAATCCCACCTCTTGTCATAGCACTTACTCCTGTCCCTTTCCTAGTCTTATATCCTCTTACTCAATCCTCAGATTTATTTTGTTAGCAAGTTTCACCTTTAAATATACAATATTTATTATTTGCTTGTATGTTTGCTTATAATTCTGTCTCTCTCTGCTATTATAAAGTATGTATGAGGGCAGAATCCATATTTTTAACTATTTTTAAGCACTCAGAGCAATACCTGCTACAAAATAAAAACTTAATAAATAGGGGCCTCCCTGGTGGCGCAGCAGTTGAGCGCTGGGTTGTGAAGATGCCCCCAGCCTCTGCAGTGCCGGTTCGATCCCTGGCTGCAGAGTGAGGGTCCCACATGGCTCGCAGACCTCTCCTGCCGCCCGCTGGGTCCCACATGGCACGCAGACCTCTCCTGCCGCCCGCTGCTCCCCTCAGCAGTGTACTTCGTCACTTTTCCTGCTCTGCTCTCCCCTCTGGCTCTAGTGAATTCTCTCACCCTCCCATGCTTCTGACTGTACCCAGTGCTTGTATAAATAAATAAATAAATAAATCTTTTAAAAAATGTTAAAAAAAAAACTTTAATAAGTATTTTGGAGTTAATGAATACTCACTCCTTAGATAAGCAGTATGTCCTAACAACTCCTTCTAGGTCTCAGGGATTGACATAAAAGCTGACCCTGTCAAAGAAGGCTGAATGATTCTGCTTTATAGTCTGACATTTTTAGCTCTCAAGCAGCTTTCTGCAGGTCTGCTGAGGTTGAACAAGGGCTGCTTTTGCTTCTTGGTCCCAAACTCCATATTGGTTCAAGTCTCTTGTCAATATATGTGTGCCTCATGGGTCCACACTTCTTACCTGGATTCCATACCAAATGCACAGAGTAGCTTCCAGGATTTCTGTGGGCAAGTGTTGACTAAACAGTATATACACCTTATTATTAAAAATTGTTCCAATGTTAGGTTCACGTAGAAACATGCCCTAAGACTAGAATGTGTGTACAAGTGAATGACTTGGGAACTGATGTTACAAAACCCACGTAAGGCAGTGGGTAGAGTAGAAGAGGCCAGTAAACTGTAATATGAGGAAGGCTTATACTGTGAACAAAGGGGTCTCAATTTTGTGGGGGCTCTTCAAGTCACAATGTAGAACATGTCGGGATGATACCCCAATGGAAAAATGTGAATGAATAGTAGTGTTTATCCACTGAAAGTCATCCTTTATTAATTGGAGTTTGTTAGTAAGTGTGGGGAGGCAGAACTTTAATTCCCTGACACTAATGAGCTTTGATGACTAGAGAGAACCCTGAGACAGAGTCCCAGGGACTTGGCAGTTGCCCATCAGAGGTCAAGGAACCTGGAATGTGGAGGGGGCATGGGTGAGATTCCAAGAGTATCTCATATACCCATGGAACTGAAGCTCCCTAGGTGGATGGAGGCATTAGGATAAATTTCTTTTCTTTTTTTTTCCTCCTTTACTCATTTTATCTATTTATATTTTAAATTTTAAGATTTTATGTATTTCCTTTCATTGAGGTAACATTGGCTTATATTATTGCTGTTATCTTGGAAGGATATGATTGCCACACTCAGGTCTTGCCCCCCTAGTGCACCCACTGATAATTCTCCTATTGTCTCCCACCATCGTCCTCTGTGCTACCTTTCCTCTTTGTTGTCCCCCCTCCCCTGTCTGGATGCTTCTGTTCTTCAGTCAGCTTTCAAGGGCTTGTTTTTAAGCTTGTCTTTGACTCTTAGTTTCTCCGTGCTCCACATATAAGTAGTCCTCTTAAATGAATCATTTTGTTTTCATGACAAGATTTCAGATATTTAAAGCTCTCAAGGATAAAACTTCTAGAAATCTAAAACTTGTGAAGTTAAAATGTGTATGTTCATACTTTATTATTTTTATCTTTTTTCAATATTTTTATTGCAATAAGAACACTTACCATGAAATCTACCCGCTAATAAATTTTACATGGAAACATATTATTGTAGCTCTATAAACACAAAGTTTAAAGCAGGTGTTTAGGCATTACTCATGTTGCATAAGATAAATTTTATACCCATTGAAAAGCACCTCCCTATCTCCACCTTGCCCAGACACTACTTGCCCCCTACCCTTTTAAGTTTATATCTTCCATATGAGACAATTTAAAGCAAAATTTGGTGATTCACCTTAACAACTATGTTTTGGTAAATTTTACTGACAAGTGACCTTTTTCTTAAAAATACTATGTAAATTATTCTTAATATTGATAGATAAGTTGGAAAAATTTTAATTCTTTTAATATTATGGAACTATCATTCATATAAAAAATCCTATTAAAACTCTTTACATATAAACAAACAATTTGTTCACAATGCTAACATTAGCTTGGATATAAAAATAAATCCTATTTATGTGTATGTTTCTCATTCATTGCCAGTGATGCCTCAGCTTGTGTATTAGCAATTAAATGCAAATTGCCTTATGAAAATAGGTGTTTATATGCTTAGTCCTTGTCAAAATGATTAGGTAGCTTTGCAATTCAATAATCTATGGAAATCATATGGGCTATATTAGTTATATTTTGTTCAGAAAGTAATTATTTTAACTCATTACACATTATTTGCATTGTGTTGCACTTTCAAGAAATATGTATATTAAACCACAGTATGAAACTAGTATGGTTCCATAATTCAATTCATGCAAATCTGCTAGGAATAAAATCAACCACAATTTAATTTTGAATCTTCCCAACCAGCAGTTGTACAATCTATGCGCTGCTTTTCTATTTTTACTACTGGATAATGACAATGATGAATGCATTTAAGAGGAAATACATATTCATTGAAAAGACTGAGATCAAAACTACCCCCCTCCAAGAAGTCTGGGAGGGTAAGAAACCTATTTGCCTGCTACAGAGATATGTCGGGTATGAGATGGAATTATGCCCATACTCCAGCTAATGAGGGTTCAATAATCCAGACAAAGTAAACCTGCAAAAATCCCCTTTTACACACTACTGTAATCAATACCCTCACAATTATTGTCGACTGTACTATTAAACATATCTGAATGAGCAGATGAGTAGCAACGAATGCAGCTAGGAGCCTGTCACTCTGAGCATGCCAGGTTAAGAGGTATTAAGACACAGATATTCATTTTGCAACTGCTCTTCTGACCTATGTATTCATGAACATGGGAAGGAATGAATATTAGCTCATTAGTGGTGATTTACATGATGAATGACAACGATGAACTTACAAACTGTGCTGTCATGAGAAATTACTTAATGTGAATAATGACATAAATGCTGGCCTATGTCCTTTATCAATTGATTGGGTTGGTATTCTTCATTGTACCCACAAGTGACTTGAAACTTTTACTTCAAAGATATTGAGAAACGACAACATACCAAGATGAATGGAATGGGTCCAGAGATCCATGTAGTTCCTATTTTATTTTAGTGTGTAATTTTATAGCTTATTTGATATAATGTAAGATATTAAACTCAAGTCACTCAAGATACTTCAACTGTGAATTGAAAAACAAATGAGTAGTGTTATCTATTTGTATACTTATGCAGACAAATGTGTGCTATGAAATGAGCTCCCGAGAAATCATTTAGAGTATGAAATACTTTAGCTAATAGGTGCTGCTGAGAGCGAACTTATCTTCTGTCTATAATCTTCTGCTATTTGCATTGGAAAATACCAAGTCCCGGCTACACTATAATATTTCATTCTGAGTGTGAAATGTCTGATCACAAAAATTATCTTGAGACACACATTAGTATGTACATTTTCTTGATACTACATTCATTTATCTTCACTCTTCCCTCTAAAATTCAAAGCCTATTTCCTCATCATGTTTTGTCTTAGTTTGGAATTCAGAAATTCATAGCTGCTGGTTCGGAAAACAAACTTAGATATAGTTGGTAGCCTTTGGCTAGAAATTATAAAGAAACTATTTTATTGCTTTCTTTTCAATTAGACTCCATGTATTGTAGCATTGATATGGACAGTCATCTCAAGTTGAATATGTATGTTACAAGTGGAATATATATATATATATATATAAAACATTTTATACTACAGATATCATTTAAAACCTCATCTAATGTCCCCTTTTATTTGTGAAGAAGAAAATAAATGTATTAGTTGGGAATAAACTGTTTTTCTCTCAAAGCTTGTTTACTGATTGGTGAGTCCTGTCTGCCCTGAACTTGTGTGGAACTTTTATTTTTACGAGTTGCCTTCTTTTAGGAAGTTTGTCAATGTTAAATATCATAAAATATATCTTCAAATTTATGTCTCTTTAGACCCCATATTTCTCACACTAACCAACCTGTGTTTTAAGAATTCCATGAGTAATTCAAAATGCCTTCATTATATGCATCCAAGTCAATTGCTCTGGTACTGCAAAAGATCAATAGGATCATTTTGTAAAATGTAACTATTACATGAAAATGCTTTGAATTTACCTTCAGAGACTCCTCTTGTTTAAAGAGATCTTCAAAATCTTTAGCACAGAGGTCAGGAGCATGAAGAAGTTGTTCCACTTCTGATAGGGCTTGTGAGACATGCGTGATCTCAGTAAGATAAGTAGAAGGCACATAAGAAATTTCCAAAGGCATCTCTTCAGTCATCACCTTCACCGATTCTTCATGGACAGTGTGCTGGTATAGATATACAAAAGAACAATTCTTTTAGCTTCCTAATAATGAAAATATTTCTTTTGAGTTTATATAGATTCCAGTTTATAGCTGACAAGAGGGCTGAAAGTGGACAAAAAGTGCATGATGATAAGTCTAGTAAAAAGGTTATTATTTATATTCCCTCTCCATCCAAAAAAGTGTCAGAAGCATTTTTAATAAGAGATATGTGCACATTAGGCCCATGAATATAAGAATGAAAGACCAAGAGTTCTAAGATCATGGGAGGGATCATTTTTTCATAAGAAAAGTATATTCTTTTATAACAGGTTTTAAAATGTTAATTCTATGCTTCCTGGAAATCTAGGAATGGGGTAAAATGAGGGTGGTCTAGATCCGTGGTATTCATAACAAAAGAATCTTCCCTATGCTTTCCCCCTAATCTTGATAGAGTTTACAAGAAACTCAAAGTGCTTTCAGCTAGCATGCACCTTTCTTTCTTTCTTTCTTTTTTTTTTTTTTTTTTGGTATTGATATAACTTTTTTCTTCTTTTTTTATTATCTAAATTTTATTTTTATATTCCCCTTACAATTACAACCCCCTTATTTTGACCCCAAGCCCTCCTTTCCCTGCCCCCATCCCCCATAGAGTGTCTCTGGTTCATAGTTGTTTGTTGATTTTGATATTTTCTTTCTTATAGTTATTCTTTTTCCTGGTCCCTTATTTAAGTTTTCTAGAATCTAGCATGCACCTTTCTATTAAGCATCCCTAAATTCCAGACATCAACTCCTCTCTTTGATGCTAGTTGCTTGCTAAATTATGGTGCTAATGAAGGTACTAGCTGAGTAGGAAAAGAGCAAAATTCACATTTCCATGAGGATTTCAGAAAGTTGTAGGGTCCCGGGGAATAGTAGTGTCTCCTCCTGCCTCTGCACTTTCCTAGCTGGCATCCCAGTACTTGTAGTGATAGACATTTGGAGCTGAGTCCTTCTGGAGTTTGCCAGTAGTGGCTCTTTCCCTATTCCTGATAAGAGCAAGAAATAAATACTATTTGGCACGCAAATTCAGAAAGATGGATGACCTCTGCTCTCTTCTGTCTACACTATAAGCAACAAAACTCCTGTAATTGAAATTATTTTTGCAGTAACTTTGTTTTAAATTGATCAACTGCCACCTGCTTGGTGATGGGGTCAGCTGAGGGTTTCAGTGGCAGGGTTTCTGGGGGAGTTCTGATGATAAGAGTGCTACACAGCCATTTATTACTGCAAAGCCTTTATGACAAGACCATCTTCTTTTTTATTTTTTTTACAGTAATATAATTAAATGGGAGTTTTTGATCCCAGGCTGAATCCACACAAAAAAAGGAAAATTATAAACTGGACTGGTTTGCCTTCTTTTACATTTCTCATGGACAAGATTTTTGTACTCAATTCTAATAGGATAGAAAGATAATTCTAATCTACTGTCTCATTTATGACACTGAAAATCAGGAATTATACAAGTTAGCTTAAATTACATAATTATATATTTCCCAAAGTTGGGCTTGTTGTATATAGGTTGGCCAAATCCATGACACATATTCCTTTGTGATCATGGAAGAAGAATCTACATGCACTTCAAATTTAACACATAAAATAGTAGAATTTAGAGCTAGAGTTTGAAGAGGACAGTGCATAGATTAAACCACACATTTTAAAATCCAATTAATTAATCTCATTATTTCTAAACAAACTGGCAGGCTATTTGAATGTGCAACTTCCATGGACATATTAGGTTTCATGCTAACCAGTAAAGTTACAAGCACAGGTGAAATAAATGTACTCTTGTTTTCATACATTCTACTGGACTGGCAATTTGTTCTTAAGATTTTTTTTCAAGTTAGTAATTCTGCCTTTCTTATTTGCATCAGTTGCTTCAATTTCTGAGGGGAATATAGTTCTACATTATATGAAACAAGAATATGTCCGATACTACTTTATATAATGGTGCAATGATCTTACTTTTTAATTATATGCATTTTATCATACCTGTAAGTTTTTATAGAAGATTAATTTTTGTTATTAGGAACAGATTTGGATAGAAGTCATAATTTCATTCTCCCGTTTGTATGTGTGCATACATGTATGTATGTATCATGTCATATGTTCATATTTTATAATATCAGGGGGATTGTGAAGAAGTAGACTTATCTTCAAACTACTTTTTAAAAAATCTGAATCTCATTTTTTTAAAATGAGGGTGCATTCCAAAAGGTTTTAATGTCTGTCCTCAATCATTTTCCCTTAAAATTAAAACAGTTCTAATTTCTTTGTATTTTCTGTTTTATTTTTTGTTTGTTGTTGACATGTAGTTTCTCACATCTTTATTAACTACATTTGGGAAATTTTCAAGTATTTTTAATTCATGCCCATTCCTTACAAATATAGTAGTGATGGATTGTCAATAGCAAGGGAATTAAATGAACATTTAAACAAAATAATGAACAGAGGCACTAAAAATAAACTCACATTTGACTACTGCATTGGATTTAATTTCCCAAACACAATTTAAAGGTCCAAATTTTAACTTGTACAACATGTGGCTAATACTGTTTTGTTTTGCCTAGAGCACTTTACATTAAAATGAGATTTAAATCCTAATTAATGCTGATCACAGGGCACTGAAGGCTGGAGTGCGGTGTCTCAGAAATAAGATCTAGCCTGGACTGCAGTCCTGCAGCACAGCTCTAAGCACCTGGACAGTACACACTTCTGTGGCACTGAATTTGTTAAGTTTTTTACTACTTGATTCCATGTCAAGTTGACTCCATGGGTTATTTTATTACATATTGATCCTTGTACCTTTTTTCTCTCATAATAAATATTTATCAGCAGCACATCAAGAGAAGTATCATTTTCACTTATATTTCAATAGAAATCTCTTTTAGGGGAACGTTATGTGGCATCCATTTAAATCCAGAATCTTTCAAATAATTGAAATTCTGTATCTGGTTCTAGAAACTATTTTTGCTCTTTCCTTTCTTTAGTGATAAAACTTCATTTTTTAAAAGATTTATTTATTTATGCATTTAAGAACTGGGGTACAGGCCAGAGGTGTGGGGGGTGAGAGGATTCGCCAGATAAAACCTTTATTAATCTAACTGCAATACCTTCACAGAAACATGAATGATTGTACTATAGGTGAGACAAATGCTATTGATATACATATTGGGATTTTTCAGACTATCACAGGTAAATCTTAAAGTGAGTGTCATCAATTCATGGAAATATATGGACTATGCCATATACTATCCACCCCCTGCTCAGAGATGCTATGAAGAGATTGTCCAGAATATTTAGAAATATTAAAACACTGTGGGTGATGAGAGCAATCAAAGAAATAGAAAGGTATGTTCTATCACATCAGTTATTTTATATTTCCTTTGTAAAAAAAACTAAATTTAAATGCTTGTAATTCCTAATTTGCTTTCTGGTAACAATTACCTCTGGACATTGAATCAGTAGTTTTCAAATAGGATTCTAAAATGTTAATATCACAAATTCACTATATATAATGAAGACTGATCTACTGCAGGGTGCAGTTCTCCTATCATTTGATACATATTACTGAATTTTAACAGACAGAATACTGCATATCTGCTAAACAGAGAGAATTAAGTGATGACCATGTGAACTTTTATGAGAAATAGAAATATTTCAAAATAACTCTGACACCACTGAAACACTGTCAGTGAATTTTACAGAAAACTTAAAGTCTTCTAAATTTCAAATATTCTCATTTATTATAAAGTTCTGGTAGATACAATAACTTTTAATATATAGAGATTTACCGTAATTTTCAGCGACAAGAAACTGCCAAAATTTAATCAAGACAGTCAGACATTTGGAGATTTGGGATACTGTCTCCTCCTTAAATATATTATCCCTTTTGACACAGTTATTCAGGTCTATAATGAACATACCACATCCACTGAATGACTTTCAGTTTGGTTTAATAAAAATTTCAGACAGTTATTAAAAATCAGTGTAATTGGAAGTATCGTGTTCATTTTCTCTTCTTTATGCAAAATCCATGTACTCATATTCAGATTTTGCATTTTCATTTAAATTTCATTAACTCTGCCTTGAATAATTATATCCTTCTGAATTCTGATGTGTACAAATCCTGTCTAACCTTTTGAAAATCAACTTGCTTTTGTTAATGTTCTTTACCACCTTATATCATTACAGATATTCATGCATCATTAACAAGGAAGTGTGGTAGCCATACTAATTCATTTTGTTTCTATCTGTTCTTATTCATTCCTCACAATATATATTGGAAATAATATACCATCCTCATTTTTTTTTAGGTATGAAAATCAGGAGATGTGGAAGAAAGCCCTAAAGTACCAATTTTTATTAACAAATGGAAAGTTCAAATGGTGCTTAAAAAGGATTATTATAGAACAAAACTATGATTTGCAATACCTAAAGCTGAGGTAAAAACAGTTTGGAGATTTTGAGCTTTTTCAATAAACTTTGGTTTCTCTGAAACTTTTATTATTTCAAATTGGTTTCTTTAAGAGGCACATAACTGCCTGAGATAAAAGCAACCCTGTTTTGAGACAAATGGTGCATTATATCTAGTTTTTTTTTTAAAACAAAATGTTTTTCTCCATGATTTAAAGAACTTCTCTCTCCTCAATATAAAAGTTTCAAATGGGTTGTGGTTACTGACCTATTTATGAGTTACAAGGTCAAAGAAACTCAAGAAGAAAAATGCACTATATGCATTATGATATATTCTACAAAATACCTATCTATTTAATATAAATATTCTATGTAGAAAATATGTCAATGCATTAAGAGTCAAGGAACAACTAAACTAGCAACAAAAAATAAAGATGTGCCAAATCGTTAAAATAAAACACACCTGTTTTTAAAGTCATGAAATTAAAATGTTTATACCTGATTGTTTTTCCCAAAAATGACATTCTTAAATACTATAGTTTAAAAATAATAACAGAATCACATGCAAATCCTAAATAGAATTACCAGCTTTAAATGCATTCTAATGGGTCAGAAATGAAAAGATAAACTATCTTCAACAACTAGTTTTCTCTCTATTCTTGAAAGTCTTCCCAGAAAGACAGTGAAGTTTCTTCCTAAGAATTATTATGAGGGGCAGTTAAGCTTATTTTTCTCCTTGCTCATTTATCAGAGTTATAAGCACAAGAAGGCAAGTCAATAACCAAATTTGACACTTAAAATATTGTATTAATCCACAGGGAGTGAAAAAAAAAAGACTAAAATAAAAAGCATACAAAAGAACCCAAAAAATATGAATTGGGCATGGCAGGTATGGGTGTATTCTGTCCTGCCCATGGTTTAGACATAAATAAATGGCAGGCGTTACTAGATTTCTCATAGTACTCGGCCTTATATGCTTTTCATGAAGTCACGGGCTAGAAAGGCCTTCAATAACCAACCTAATGAATCCAAATGGATTGGTATGATCTTACATAGAGAAAATAGCAATGAGGGAGTGTTTGCTCTTATATCTTCCCACGCCCCCCTACTGTATCATCTAGAAAACTGCCTATGTGAAGCCATGAAACAAAGGGATGGCCAAACATCAAACGATCATCAATTAATTGATTGACAAATGTAGTAAGTTTGCAATATGCTTCCTTTGTTAAAAAAAAAAAAAACACACACACTCTAAATACATACATACTCAGTAAAAACTATTATAGAATATCATCCATATTATTTATTTTTTAAACTTAGAATGATTGTACGGAGAGGGCAAGCTGTCAGTGACAGAGACAGGAACAGCTGGATTTGCCAGTCTTTAAATATGTCCTCCAGGAAGTCAGGTGTGTACGGTATCCTGTATAAAGGGTCTGGGGACCTGCTCATTGATCTCCCTCAGGTTGATGCTTCCCTTCCACATCATCCAATTTACCTAATTCCTCAGGGCCAAGCTAAATTACCATCTAATTAAACTGATAAACTGAATCTCCATAATGTGTTAATGGCTTATAGTGGTTTAAAGTGTTATCCTTCACAGGATAACATTTGCATTTTAATACAGAGTTTCTGTGAATTAACATAAATTAGTAACTTGGTAGAATTTCAGTTACTGAGTTTGGTCTGTGAGAAAAGTGAAAGAGAAGGACTTTGATTCCCACTAAGATAAATAGCAACACAAAAATACCAAAACATTTGTCCTGTCTTCTAAGGAATTATCAATAACTTAAAATGGTCATGTCATAAATAAAATTACACACCCTAGGCACTTTATAATGTAAAATAAATGAGACATAGACAATAGCATGTAATCAAAAAATTGCCAAAGAAACTATGTATCAGCTTAAAAGGATAATTTGAAAAACAGACATTTGACTTACTAACTGCTGGGGTCATAATATAATTTCCGTTTTAGAATTTCCAAAAGTCAAACAGCAGTATTTTCTTCATTTCATAATATAATCATCATTAATACTGATTTAGAAGGTATTTCTGATCTATGTCCCTTTTCTCCAAATTAAGGCACACTAGCTAAATGCTATTACATACAGACATCTTGGCTCTTCAGTTTATCTCAGCTATTAATGGAACTCACTTATATGATCAAAAAGAGAAGTGACCATTTGGGGTATTGTTATGCAGATAATTTTAGGTGGTATCACTTTTACATCCTTCATGGAGGTCTAACACTTATTAACAGATTGAAGGTTCTGAGAAGACTTGCAGTCAAGAAAGCTTATTAATCCTAGCTGAGTTTTGACATAAAGGATTTAAGGTATAAATATATATTTAATTTATACTTAAAAATATATACCAATATATATTTTTGACAGTAAGCTATCAGTTTGGGAAGAACTAGCACAGAAATCTTTTCATATGTTTACACGTAAAAATTACCACATATATACACCACATATATACACATCCATATATTTGATGCAATATGAAAATGAAATTAAAATGAAGAACTACTTTCAAGTATGTATCTACTTTCAATTATGTATCACCCTAATACATCACTTAATTTCAAGTTCCCCAAAAAACTTCCGGCTTGAGTCTATTTTACAGATTTGCAGAAGAGACTCAAAATATTTCTAATCTATGCTACACTCCTCAAGCATCTCAGAAAATCTGGTTACCATTTATCTCTACATAATTCAATGTGACAACAAAGTACCTTTGTCTGAATATGCATGTGCCATATTTATGGTTTTGAATGAGATTGTTTTTATTATTAGAGAAGAGAGTGATAGTGAAGATGTTTACAGCTCCACTGCCGCGGTCTAACATGGTCATCCATAGCCTCATGACTATATAAATTTAAATCTAAATTATTTAAAGGGAAATTCAGTGAAATATTATTTTACTGGTGAGATGAAAATTATAACACTGTGTTCAACTCTTTTAATAATACAGAAAGTCAATAATGCAAATAGTAGGATTTTTACTTTTGTGTGAAAAAAATTTACACCAGCACTATATTGATCAGAAAACAACTGTGGCATACATAGGCTGATAGCTTTCCACACAAAGTTGATTTAGACTGGCTATGAAATCCAATATAAAATGCTAAAAGGTTATAATGCAAACAATTTATCATACTACCTGAAACTGACTAAGAAACTGCTAACGACTTTTGTCTTATAGCCTTAATCTCTAAATAACGGTGATAAAATTAAAACACCTAATATGAATTAAATAAAATATACACAATTAATCTGTTGAAAACTTATTTGTACATATACATATGTGTGATAGTGTGTGTTTACATAAAAACAAAATGGAAATATTGAGATGGTGGAGAAAGATCAGGAACTGGTGAAAGATATGTGAACCCTGCACAAACTGGGATAGATGCTATAGAGCTGGTGATTTCCAGGTAGGTATGGAAGGTGATATGCGGGAGATAATAGATTTAAGATCTGTCTGGCCCAGGAAGGAATCATTATTTGCTGGTTTGCTTCATGCAGGCATTACTGGACAGTGACTGTGCTAAGTGGGTGAGGGCAGCCTTAACCTCCACCTCCTGTTCATGACAAAGCATATTAATCTTTTATATTACAGAGACATTTAAAAAAGATCATACACTCACAAGAGAAACTTTTAAAAAGGACAAAAGGAGAGATTTTGTGGGTCACCTTTTCTTATTACTATCAAATAATCCAGATATAGAGAGAAATGATGGAATAAATTTTTGTTCATCTCCAAGGGCTCTTAAAAATGAATGCATCAGATCTCTATGCATTGCCTGGAAAAACGCCTCTGCTAACCTGTTATATTTAAAAATCATATACAGAATGAGGCAATAATTTTAAAAATAGGGAAAACATATTTAGATAGAATATGTATGGTTAAGCAGCACATAATATAGGTTAAGCAGCACATAATATAGCATAAAATGTTAATACTTAACTGTAAACATTTCTTGTTTCCCAGGGAGTGGAACAGACAGTAGGAAGAAGTGGAAAGTCTAATGTTTTCTTAATATAATTTTGTATTGAGTGAATTGCTAACCTAGTATTGTATTACATTTAAAATAATTATATAGAACTCTGAATTCACATTAAATAGTTAAAACAAAAGGACAGTGTGCAGTGGAAAATAAAAGCTTCATGCAATCTGTTTATGAGTAGTCATGGCCGCCTCCATTTGGTGGCAACAAAACAGGCTATTATTGTTACTTCAAAGTTGCAGGAAAGCATATACTATTAATCAGCTCTCTAACTTATGGACTCACAGACCAAGAGAAAATGCATAAGAAAGCAGAAGGAATATATTTTGAAAGAATTTTACATTATCACCTAAAGCAACGCCAGCAGTGCTTGCTGCACACCTAATTGCCTGAAGAGTCCTGGCAATGACTGGCTGGTGTTTTTATGCATGAAGGAAAGAAAGTTCTTCTTATATACCTAAGGATCCTGAAGAAGAGTGAGTAAATGGAAAACAGTGCTCTTTTGTAAGGACATCCAACATTAAATCTATTTTGACTGATCTTAAGACTTCGATTTATAAAGAGCTAATTGAAATAAAAATAGCTAATGAGAAAAATACTCAAGCCAAAGCAGATATTTAACAAAGGAAGATAAATCAATCAAATATTAGCTTTTTTTTTCTTTTCTGCAGTTTTGAAATCACTGCTTCAATGCTCCCCATGCATTATAAATTGCTTTTGTTACGCTGAAAACTTTTCCTATTTCTTTGACCTGATACAGGTTATCTTTAACTAAACATTCTTAATTTGAAGAGGGGATAAAATCTTAAGAGATAATAGTGCCATTTACAAAATTATACAACCTAACCCTCAACAGCATGACTTTGATTATTACCCCATCTCCTATTCTTGTAAATAGTCACAATGATTTTATGCCCTTAAAAAATCTAGGGAGTTAGAAAAGAACTTTTAGAACGTAACTGAAAGATAAAGACTGAACCACAAAATATACTATCTTGATGAGTACAGTGGGCATTTTTTTCAAG